TGTGTGTGTGTGTGTGTATGTATGTATGTGTGTGAAGACTAGTTGCAATAAAGTGCCAGGCACACAGGAGGTGCAGAAACCTCCACTCTATCCCCAGGTTCTGTGGACCCGTCTGGGGCCTTTTTGGTCACTTAGTGTTTTGTCATTTAGTGTGGGACAGGGGGCTGAAGGAGCAAGTAGACTCATGAACTAACTTCTTTCCCCACAGGGATCTCCTACCAGAGGCTGGTGAGGGCCGAGCAGGGCCTGCCCACCAGGAGTCACCGCAGCTCCACCGTGTGAGTGTCCATGGGAAGGGAAGGGGGACAGGGAGGTAGGAGGCAGCCTTGGGAGGGTGGGACATCTCCCCCCTGCACCTGACTTTCCCTCTGCCACCGCATCTACTTCCCTCTGGCCACAGCTGTATTAATAGTCACCGCCTCCTAACAGGGGACCATGGTACTTTAGTGTATTTAATTTTCACCTTCTGTGCAAGGTGCAGGCTGCATTCCCGGCCAATGACACTGTGCCCAGCCACTGCCCATCTGTCAGTGGAGGCGTGTGCACTGCTATGATGCTCAGCAGGTGTACATGCAGCTTCCAGACTAAGACTAGGACAAAAGGGCTGGTAACCAGTTTCTGAAAACCAGCCTATGAAACCCCTGCATAGCATAACAGTCAGACCCACAGCCAATCACAGGACTGGCACAGGACCCAGCAGGCAGCATCTTATTCTTTTATGCACCATTAACTGGGGCCACCTTGACAGCAGCTAATAGCAACATGACAACAGCACTGTCTTCATTTAACTGCACTCCTATCATGAGCCTCTCAGCCAGGTCCTTGGATAAATGTGCCCACAGGGGCCCCACAAGTCTCAGTGAGGTTCTGTGTGTTGATTCCTTTCTCTGGCTGATCCTCAAACATACTTGAGATTTTATTTATTTTAATTAAAAGCCTCAATCTACCAAGTGTTGCCTGCTGGACGCACATTATTTACTTTATCTCTACTTTTCGGATGGAAAAAAATCCTAGAGATCAGAGACTAAGTGACTTCTCCCAAATCAAACAGTTATGAGGTATCTGAGCCAGGTTTTATATCTCAGTCCTAGATCTTTTCCTGGTGTTTTTCTACCTGTTAGTAAAGCAGTCCTTTGTGAACATTTTGGACTAGAACCTATTAAAACCAATGCTGTTTCCATACCAGCCTGACCTTATGGGGCTGAGCAATGGTGGGTGCGAGGTTTGGGGCTGCGTGGTGCAGCCCTGCCAAGCATCCACAGCCACATGCTCTGTGCCCCCAGCACCGTGCTGCTGCTGAACCCACTGGAGGTGCAGGCCGAGTTCCTGGCTGTGGCCAACAAGCTCAGCGCACCTGAGCAATCGCCCCATGGTACATACACCACGCTGCTCCTGCACACCTTCCAGGCCACCTTCGGGACGCACTGTGACCTCCCAGGCCTGCACTGCAGACTGCAGGTACAATCTGGGAACCCTGAGGTCCCGCATCACCCTCCCCCCATGGAACCCCTCTCCAGAGAGACAGCGCCCTGCTCTACTCCACTTCAGTGCTGCCGTCTTCAGGGTACACTAGCCTCCCCAGGAGACCGCTGGCCAAAGCTTGGCTGGGTCTTAACCAGGGCTGGGTGACAACTGGGGATCGGGCATTGTTCTCTGGTGCCTCCAAAGATGGCCTGGGCTTGGGCGGGATGGGGATGACTTTGGACTGAAGCCAGACATTATAAATCCTAGTCCTGGCTTTCTGGCGGGTCCCTTCCCTTCTCTAGGCTGCAGGATGAGCTCTGATGTCCTATTGCTCATGACCATTGTCTGGCAGTAAAGGAAGGGGAGGGGAGAAAGAGACCTGGCCCCTGGTCATCCATGGACAGAGGTGGACGATGAGGCCAGGGAAAGGCCTGCCCGCTGCCCACAGTGAGGCTGTAGGAGCTGGGAAAGGCAGTAGCCAGCACCTGGACTAGGAGCAAACCCATCTCCTCTTGGGGTTTCAGTCCAAGACCCTGGCTGAGCTTGAGGACATCTTTACGGCGACCACAGAGGCACAGGAGTTGGCCGCTGGCATCAGGGATGCAGCCGAAGCTCGGCAGTGGCTCAGGACCCAGCTACAGGCGGTGGGGGAGAAAGCTGGCTTCCTTGGCGTCTTAGGTGAGGCTCCCTTAAGTGGAGGAGAGCAGAGCTTGGCCTGCCTCTTCCAGCACCTGCCCTTGCTCCCCAGGCAAGTGGTCTGGGGGTGCCGGGCAGCCCTGCTTCACACTGTCATCCCTGGACCTGGATTCTTTAGCCTTTTGCTGCTCTACCATCCTGGAGACACTGCTTCCTTCTGCAGAGTTAGGGTTGAGTTGCCATCATGTTCCGACTTGTGAGGAGAGGAAAAGAGGGCCCTAACTGAGGGCAAGTGGTTTTGGTAAGTGAAGACAATGCAGAAGTTGTACACCCACTTCTGCACACATCCCTGTGAGTCCACTTAGTCACACCCAGCTCATATAGAAGCTGGGCGATGCCATTTCTACAGCTCTGTCCTCATAAGAGGGAGCTCCGGAAGCCTGGTGGTAAGGAGGTGCACTGCCTACTCAGAAACATGATTTGAACCCACCAGCTGCTTTGTGGGATGAAGATGGGAAGTTTCCTCCTGTTCAATTTACAGCCTCTAAAAATGTGCTAGAGGGTCCACTATGAGTTGGTTCTGACTTAAAGGCACATGACAACAGCAGCATTACTATACAAAAAGGGAGAACAGATTCTGAGGATTATTGAGCACTTGTGGCATTTGTGTTATGCTAAACAGAAGGCCAGCACTTCAAACCCAACAGCTGCCCCTGGGAGAGAAAGAGAGGCCGTTTCCTTGCACAAAAACTTACAGCTTTCTAAGCCAAATGGAGGGTCACTATGAGCGCAATCGAGTTGACTCTAGTGGGTTTGGCTTATCACAAACGGAAAGGAGCCCTGGTGGTATGATATGTAGTGTACTGGGCTGATAAAAGAAAAGTCAGCAGTTCAAACCCATCAGTAGCTCCTTGGGAGTAAGCTCACTTGTAAAAATTCAAGACTCAGAACTCTGATGGAGTGTCGCTGTGAACCAAAGTTGACTCAATGTTATTGTTATGTCCCCTTGAGTTGGAGCCAATTCAGAGCTGAACCTGAAGTGGGTTATCAGAGGTTATAAATGGCACAGGAGGAGATTACACATCTTTCTCTCATGGAGCCGCTGGTGGATTTGAACCAAGTGCTTTTGGGTTGGCAGCACAACTTCTCAACACAATTGATGGAGCCCTGGTGGCATAGTGTATTTCATATTGGGCTGCTAACTAAAAGGTGGGCAGTTCAAATCCAGTCACCCCTTGGGATGAAAACAGAAGCTTCCCCTCTAAAAGAAGTACAAGCTCAGAAGCTGATAGTCACCAGCATAACCTCAACAGTAGTGGGTATGGATTTAGATTACAATATTGAGGGAGCCCTGGTGGTGCAGTGGATTAAAAGTTGAGCTGCTAACGAAAAGATTGGTGGTTTGAATCCACCACTTTGCAGGATAAAAATGAAGCAATTTGTTCCTGTAAAGATCTACAGCCTAAAAAAACCAATGGAGAAGTTGTACCCTGTCACATGGGGTGTGTCAATACGGACTTGACGATAATGAGTTTGTTTTTAGTTTTGATCACAATATTGGCGGAGCTCTGGCAGTACAGGACTTAAGTCCTCAGCTGTAACCAAAAGGTTGGTGGATTGAACCCACCAGCTGCTCTGCAGGAGAAAGCTATGACGATCTACTTCCGTACAGCCTTGGAAACCCTCCGTGGCAGCTCTTTCGCCTGCAGGGTTGCTTTGAAAAAGCATCAACTCAATAGCAACAGATTTGGTTTGGCCTCGTCTCAGTATTGATTTGTCTCTGGGTCATGCAAAAGGTTAACACACTCAGCTGCTAACTGGAAGGTTAGAGGTCTGTGTTCACCGAGGAGTGTCTAGCCAGAAAGGACTGGCACTCTACCTTGAGAAAAATTCTCATCTCCTCACTGCTGTCATGTTGGAGCTGACTCTGAGCTGGTCCTCCACTGGGTTTCTGAGGCTGTGTATCAAATGGGAGGAAGCCGCCCATACAGTGGATCTATTAATGGATTTGAACAACCAGAGACTTGGCCTTTGGGTTAGCAGCTCAGCCACCTACGGACTATGCCAGCAGAGCAGAGTGCCTCTCTGGGAAAGCTAGTCACTGAAATAAATCCCTGTGGAGCCCGGCTCTACCAGCGTGAGTGGCTGCTGTGAGTGGGAATCAATTCAATGGCAACTGGTGAGGCTGGATCACAATATTCCCCACAAAACCTTTATGCAATAATACCACTATGACAGGTTTGGAAGCAGGAGTGGCATCCACTTCCTAAAGAACTTGCCTCCGGAAGCTCCGTGAACTTTGATAAATGCCAACAGTTGTAGAGGGGCTTCAGGCCTTTTATTTAGAGGGTTGCTATGAGTGTGCTCCACTCAAAGGCAGTCAGTCAACAACAACAATAACAACAACAATGTTGTCTCACTTAGACATTATTGTTAATCTTATTTTTATTATTATTTACATGGACATTAATATTATTAATATAAATAGTAATTATTTCTGTATCATTAGTAACTTTATTTTTATTCATTATTATTAATGTGGAAATAATAATCATTAATAATTATTATTAATGTCCCATTTGGACAGTGTAAAATGAGGCTCAAAGGTTGTGACTGGGCCACAGTGACACAGCTGAGTAAGGGACAAGGCATCTATATGAGATAAAAGGCCATCTGGTTGGGAGTCAGGCAGGCTTGTTTCTAACTCAGTGCCACTCAGCCAGCGGTGGCCCAATGAGGGTCCCATAACAAATGCACTCTCCAGTGAGACAGCAGGTGGAGACTGGGCCAGCCAGTCTCCAGGCCTCCTGTCACCCCCATCTCTTACCCTTGTTGCTCCTACAGACACTGCAAACCCGGGCAAGCTCCACACCATCCCCATCCCTGTGGCCCGGTGCTACACCTACAGCTGGAACCAGGACAGCTTTGGTAAGGAGCCTGGGGAGGCCCTGGTGTCCACAATCTTGCTGGAACTCTGTCTGGTTCTGGGTTGGGCTTCCTACCCCTCCTCCCCCATGGACACTGTCACCTGAGCAGGGTGGCCCTGACCCCTCCACCCTATCCTCCTCAAGTTTGTTGTCTGGATTTGTAACCTAAGGGTGAGCAAATGGCACACAGAGACCTGGACATTCAAGTGGTCTCTCTGACTTCTCTGCAGACATCCTGAAGGAAATCCTGCTCAAGGAGCAGGAACTGCTCCAGCCAGAGATCCTGGGAGACGATGAAGAGGAAGAAGAGGAGGATGAAGAGGAAGACTTGGACACTGACCGGCACTGTGCCAAGAGGGACTCCGTGCTCTCCACCAGCTCCAGGGCCTCGCGGGACTCTGCCCTGTCACTGGCCTCCTCCCAGGCCTCAGGGGCGGCCCTCTCCCGCCAGCTGCTGAGCTCCTTCGTCTCTGGCCTCTCAGACGGCGTGGACAGCGGCTACGTGGAGGACATCGAGGAGAGCGCCCCGGAGTGGCCGCGGAAGCCCAGCAGCCAGGAGCCGCACGGCCACCACAGGCCCGGGCAGAAGTTCAACCGCATCTATAAACTCTTCAAAAGCACCAGCCAGCTGGTGCTGCGCAGGGACTCGCGGAGCCTGGAGGGCGGCGTGGAGGCGAGCCTGCCGCTGCGGCGCGCGGGGAGCCTCTGCAACCCCTCGGATGGCGCGGCCCCGCCGCCCACCCGCGCGCAGCGCTCGCGCTCCCTGCCGCAGCCCAAGCTCCGCGCGCAGCTGCCCAGCTGGCTCCTGGCCCCCGCCGCCCGCCACCAGCGCCGCAGGCCCTTTCTCAGCGGGGATGAGGACCCCAAGGCCTCCACGCTCCGGGTGGTCGTCTTCGGCTCCGATCGGATTTCTGGCAAGGTGGCGCGGGCTTACAGCAACCTCCGGTAAGAGGCGCGGCTGCGCTCTGTTGCTGGGACTCTGGGTCCTGAAGGGGCGTCCGCCTTACCATCTTCTCGTCTTCTTGTGCCAGGAGGCTGGAGAACAGTCGCCCGCTCCTCACTCGCTTCTTTAAGCTGCAGTTCTTCTACGTGCCAGTGAAGCGAAGCCTCGGGGCGGCATCCACTGGCTGCCCGTCCCCTCCAAGCCAGACGCCTGCAGCCCCTACCGACTCCCCGAGGCACCCCAGCCCTACAGTAGGTCCTAAGCTCAGGGCCAGATGGGATGGGAAAGTAAAGTGGACGTGAGTAGGCTCTAGTTAGTTAACTAACGGGGCATGCTGGAGTCACCAGTTCTTATGCCCTCCCGCCTTGTCTTCTGGTACTACAAGCTGTTCATGGGCTTGGCTACTAACCAGAAAGTTGGACGTTTAAGTCTACCTACTGTGCTCTGGGGTATAATCCCGGTTGGGAGTTGCAGAGCTCACCCAAAGGCTGTCTGCCCCTCTTTGGAGGTTCAAAGCCACTAGTGGCTTCATGAGAGGAAAAATGACCCATCTCCTTACTTGGTGATTTTATAGCCTTGCAACTCCATCGAGGGTCCTCTGTGAGTGAGCTTGCAATTCAATGACAACTGGTTTCTCTTTTTTTGAGAGCTATCTCAGAAGTAAGACTTGAGAATCTATTTCTAAAAATTCAGGCATTGAAACCCCTGTGGAGCCGTTCTACTGTGACTTAAATAGGGTCACTGTGAGTCAGAATTGGTTGTATTTTGGTGACCCCATGCCCAGCCCCTGCCTTGCACTAGGGTGTAATGTGTTGCCACGTGACACGTACTCCAGGTTGTCAGCCTTTTCCTAGGGCAGGAAAAGCTCGAGTAGGGATGGGGGCCATCCAGACCCTGGACTGAGGGCTCCTGAGGGCCTGGAGTGACACTTTTCCACACGCCCCTTGCCCCAGGAGCTGGGCTCAGTGCCCTGGGAGGAGAGCACCAATGACATCTCCCACTACCTCGGCATGCTGGACCCCTGGTATGAGCGCAACGTGCTGGGCCTCATGCACTTACCCCCGGAAGTCTTGTGCCAGGTAAATGGGCCCTGAGGTGGGGGAGCACCCTGGGGTGGAGGGAAGGCTGCAGTCACCTGCCACCCCACTTAGAAAGCTTTGAAGAATCCAGCTTTTGGCCTAATTTGAGGATTCTTTTCGAAAAGCTGGGAGAGTTCCTGAGTCAAGGCCAAGTCTGAGCCCAGAACACGGGGTGGGGGTTGGAAGGACACATCCATAGCAGGAGAGGGTTTGAGGCTGGCCCCTCTGCCCCTTCTGCAGCCACCTGGAGGCCCCTCAGAAGGGGCAGGCTTTGGAGGCTGGGCAGCAGTCCTGCTTCAGTCTGAGTGTCCCCTCCCTGGCTTTCTTCCTCTACATCCCTCTCCTTTCTGGGTTTCTTGTGTGAGTGTCTTTCTCCTGCTGAGGTCCTGCTTCTCTTCCTGAATACTCTTTCTCTCACTCTGTCCACTCTGTCCACGTGCCCTCCAGCAGTCTCTGAAGCCTGAATTGAGGCCCCTGGTGGGCTCCCCTGCCCAGCTGCCCATCCTGGCAGACATGCTGCTCTACTACTGCCGCTTCGCCGCCCGCCCGGTGCTGCTGCAGGTCTACCAGACAGAGGTACCATTCACCTCCGCGTTCACCTTTGCAGATCCTGGAGGCCTCAGCGGCCCCGCAGATCACACCTCTGCCCCAGCCCCAGCAGCCAGCAGCACTGGCCTGTCCCCTCCCTCCTCCGCTCCCCTCTCCCTCTCGCAGTTCACACTTGATATACTTGCTCTCTTCAGCTGACCTTCATCACTGGGGAGAAGACCACTGAGATCTTCATTCAGTCCCTGGAGCTGGGTCACTCTGCTGCCACCAGAGCCATCAAGGCTTCGGGTGGGTATGGCCTTACCAGGAGGTGAGGCAGGGCCTCAGGAGGTTATGGGAAGCGGGATGTAGGGGTCAAGGCCGCAGGGGGCAGCCCTTGGGGGGTCCTTGGAGATAGGGGAGTGAGGGGCAGGGTGGGGACAACAGAGTCAGGGTCACCAGATCAATAGGAGCAAAACTGAGAGAGAGTGAAGTGTCTTTCTGTGTGTGGCAGGTCGTGGCAGTAAGCGACTGGGTATCGATGGCGACCGGGAGGCAGTCCCTCTAACACTACAGATTATTTACAGCAAGGTAAGCATCCTGCTGAAGCCAGAGTGCTTCTTGGGAGCAAGTGTCATCTCCCATACTTTAAGCCTGGAGGGAGGGTCAGAGTAAGAGAGGAAGACCCTTGAAGAGATGGAGGGACAAAATGTAGTAATGGGCTCAAGAGTGTCAGAGATGATAAGAGTGGCACAGGATAGGACAGGTTTCCAATCTGTTGTGCATAGGATTGCTATGAGTTGCTGTAGACTCCATGGTACCTAACAACAACAATTAGCATGGTCCTGAGGCCCATTGTCCTCTGCTGATCAGATCTCCACTAGATCTCACACCTAGAGCCAGATTCAGATGCCCACAGGGCCTGTCCATAAACTGGAAGGACATAGCAGGCTCCCTGGCTCCCCGGGGTGCAAGGTGTGAGGAGAAGTGGGGAAGGGAGAAAATGGACCTTCTTCCTGCCCACCTCCAATGCCTCCCCCCACCACACACACAAATGTGCTCACCTTGCATTGTTAGGGGGAGTAGTCTGCAGGGTCTGGCTCTGTCTGGAAGTGAGAGTGGGATGGTGGTGGGCTTCCAGAGGCAGCTTGAAGGAGAGGCAGATTCTCTGGGCTGTTGTGCCTGGTGGAGTGCCTGAAAATGGGGTGGTGTGGGGCAGGAAGTGAGGGAAGTTGTGGGGAGAGGCTGGCACACCAATATCACTGATCTCTGAATGTACCTTGTCCAGCTAGAGGCCAGGAGAGGTTTGTCTTTAAAGCAGGCAGCCCACTTTCCTTGTTTTCCTTCTCCTTCCTCCCATCATTCAAATGATGTTCATTTAACATCTACTCATGCCCAGGTCACTTGCTGCTGGGCAAGAGGAAATAGCATGGAGTGGCCTAGTGTAAGGAGCTGTGCTATAAAGTAATAGGCAGGGCCTGATTCCCAAAGGCAGTGAGAGGACTTTCCTGTTACCCTGAGATCCTGCAGCCCCCTTGAAGGCATTTCCTGGGAGAGTGGAGAATAGGCTGTGCTTAATAGGCTTGATTTGAGGTTCTGACCAAAACCTCCAGTACTCTGTAGAGAACAGGTGTGTGTGTGTGTGGGGGGGGTGTCTCCAAGTCAATACTTGTTGTGTAGAAAAGAAGTGAAGGCAGCTGCAGTAGGAAGGTGGTGGCACTTAGGGTGACAGTAAGTTCAGAAATAAATAGGGGCTGTGTATGAGTTTGTGGCCAGCAGTGCTTGGTAATAGATTCGAAAAGGAAGCATCCAGACACATGGATCTTTGATCTTCTGCCACTGGTGGCCTCATTCACTAGCAGAGGGAGCATAGGAAAAGCCCAGGCATGATGGGAAAACCATGGTCTCCAAGGGAGAAAATCAGAATAGGCATTTGAATCTGTGAGCCTGAACTCGGAGGGGAATCAGAAAGTGGAGACAGGACTTGGATGAAGTGCCCAGTGGAGTAAAAATAGGATGTAGGAGGCTTCGAGGACTTTTGTCATTTAATGGTGGCTGAGGGATTGTACTCTCACAGGGAAGAGAAAAGGCAGGCAGAGGGGTGGTGGGAACCCAGGATTGCACAAATTTGGGCAGCCATGGTCAGGCTTCCAGCCTCACGTCGACATGCAGGACCCTGACAGGCCAGGGTCTAGACGAGCTGGTGAAGGGCCCTCGGTGAGCAAGCCTGGCCATGTGGGAAGGTGTGGCTCTGGTGGGCCCCCATGCTGGTGAGTCTGGAGCCTCCTGTTTGTGGAGGAGTTGCCAGCACCAGCACAGGGCCTCTGGGATGACAGCATGAGACTTCACACTTCCAGGGGGCCATCAGTGGACGGAGTCGCTGGAGCAACATGGAGAAGGTCTGTACCTCTGTCAACCTCAACAAAGCCTGCCGGAAGCCGGAGGAGCTAGGTGAGCGGGTGGGCTGGCAGAGTGGGGAGGGGGGGCAGGAAGGCATTCGGAGCTTGAGCCAGCCTTCTCCTTCAGACTCCAGCACAGAGGCCCTGACGCTAACCCTGACAGAAGTGGTGAAGAGGCAGAACCCCAAATCCAAGAAGGGCTTCAACCAGGTAAGGGTCCCCCTGTCTTTCCACCATCACCCTCACTCGTACCCTCACACCAAAGGAGGAGAGAGAGAGAGAGAGAGAGAAAGACAGGAGAGAGAGAGAGAGAGACAAAGACAGGAGAGAGAGAGAAAGACAAACACAAGAGAGAGAGAGACAAACACAGGAGGGAGAGAGACAAACACAGGAGGGAGAGAGACAAAGACAGGAAGAGAGGAGAGAAATAGAGAGAGAGACAACGACAGGAGAGAGAGAGAGAGATAAGGGTGTCCCAGGGAGGGAATGTACTGTGGACAGGCCACATGGGCATGGGTTGGGGAATATGAGCAACAGAGTGATGTGTGGGTTGTACACTCTGTGGAGTGTTGTGGCAGGGTCCATGTACATGAAAACGTTCTATGGTAGATACTGAGATGCCTAAGTCAGAGACTGAGGCCTGCTGCTCTCATAGTCAGCCAGTGGTGTGAAGTCTGTCCTTTGGCGTGCTAGCTTCTTCCAGATGCAGGAAAGGACAGAGGCCAGATAGGAAGGAGGGCCTGCAGGAGGCCTCAGGAACCCCTCCCTGGCCTGGTCCACCACCCCGGGAGCGTCCCTGTCCCTACCCCTCAGACATGAGTGGGCATTCCACGGAAAGAGCGTGGTGGGCCGAGCAATGGGGCATTGGGCTCCAGGCTCTGACCTGGGACTTCCTTCCAGATCAGCACATCACAGGTCAAGGTGGACAAGGTGCAGATCATTGGCTCCAACAGCTGCCCCTTTGCCGTTTGTCTGGACCAGGACGAGAGGAAGATCCTGCAGAGTGTGGTCAGGTGAGAGAGGGGTGTCCAGCACAGTGGGGTCCTGGGGATGGGTCAGCATCTGCTCCCAGAGGCCTGGAGGCCTGGCCTTACTCCCACCTTGCCCCACAGGTGTGAGATCTTGCCCTGCTACAAGCCAGAGAAGAGCAGCCTCCGGCCTCCACATCAGACCTCCTACTATCCTCCGGCCCAGGCTGAGCCCGATCTCTGCTCCCTCCTCTGCCTGCCCATCATGACTTTCAGTGGCGCTCTGCCCTAGTATGGCCAGGCACCAGGCTGACTGGAAGCCCAAGCAGCCTCCCTGGAGCCCCCACTTCCTGCCTTCCACAGTTGGTGATGAGGGGCTTGCTCTCTGTGGTAAACTGGAGGGCCTGTGTGGACCGGTGTCCAGATGTGGGCCCTGCAGCAGACAGGGGACGAGGGCAGGGCCTCAGGTTTTAGAGAAGGACCAGAGCTGAGGAGAGTCTCTGCCATACGGCGCTGGGACTCCTCAGGGTATAGATAGAAAGGTTAGGGAGGTAGGCCCCACCCACCATCATGAGCTGGGATCCTTTCTAGAGGAAAGGCTGAACTCTGGGGCAAGGTTCAGGCCTCCTTTACCAACCCTTGTCTGGGTCCACCTCCTACTCTGTCAAAGACTTAGGGCACCTTCATGTCTGCAATAGTGTCCCCTCTACACTGGAACTCAGGTGGTAGAAATGTTGATGGGATTTTTCTCTCCTAACCTCCAATACCTCTCTCTTCCTCACACATACACACAATTTGACATGTGCATATGTACACGTGTGGACGCACACAGATATGTGCACACACACTTATACACACACACTGTCCCCTGCTACCCAGGTCTTCTGAAAAGCAGCACTAACACTTTACCTGTCTACACTCAGGACCTGGGGCAGGTTCTCTCCTGAGGCCCTTTTGTGAGTCTGAGAACCTTGGGAGATAGGGTAGGCTTATACTCAGCCATGAGTATAATTTAATTCATTCAGTTATTTCCAACTGAATGGCCCAGGGGCAGTTAATTTACTTTGTTCCTCAGCACTAAAATGGGGGAAGTAGTGCCAACTGTTTACACGCCACTTCTAATTAAGAGGTTGATGGTTCAAACCCACCCCATGACACCACAGAGGAAAGGCCTGGATACCTGCGCCTGTAAAGATCACTGTTGCTGTGTACCATCAAGTTGTAATCAGCTCTTGGCTGACCCTCTAAAGGGTTTACAGAGGCAATAAATCACATGGGAGATTTCCCATCTTTCTCTCACGGAATGATTCCCAAGCAAACCCTGTGGGAAAGTTCTCCTCTGGAGCACCCCATGAGCCTGCCTTGATGCCAATGAGTTTATTTGCTTTGAGTTTTGGAAAGGCTTAAAAACTATCTGCAAAGCCCTTAGCCCAGTGCCTAGCTCACAGGAGGGGAGGTCCTCAGTAAGGATTAGTGGCCTTGCCTCCAAACACTGGGCCTGTGATACTCTCAGTCTCCAGAATGATCTTCATCCACCCCCTCTCAGCCCACTGATGAGGCAGAACAAGACTGAGGGAGTAAAGAGCCACTGCTTTGACCGTCTGAAGGAGTTGTCTTCACTGGGGACAGCTCTTCAGCCCTTCTCTACCAGGCTGGCCCAGCATGTCCCATGCCCACCTCATTCCTGGGACCGGTGCAGATTGCGTACACACTCACTCTCCCCAGAGTTCACTGGTGTTGTCCTAGTGCCACAGTCAGCCCCTCGGCAAGCAGTGGATGGAAGGCCTGGCCTCATGGAGCTTTGTGCCTGACTGCTACATGGTAAAAGAAAAAAATCGGACTTTCTGCCAAGTCAGAATGGTTTGCAAAGTTGAAGGTAAATGGGAACTGGAGCAGGATATTGGACTGATAGAGGTGAGAATGTAGCCATGGAAACATGAGATTGTCTCCTGCACAGATCCCCCTGCGCCAAAGGTTCTGAGCTTATAGGAAGCTGTGGAATCCCGGTCCAGAATGCTCCTATCTTGGGAAGAGCAGGCAGAGCCAGCTCCTAGTATCACCACTCCCCTGTCCTGACCACTCCAGGCTTCAGAAGAGTGATCAGCCCCACGCTATCGATCTTTTTGTGTTGTGTGAGTTCATTGTCCTACTACATAGTCAGCAGATGTATAATAATTAATTAATGGAATTTAATATTATTGTCAAATAAAACTTGATTGTTCCTTTAATTAGTAATCTATAGTTATTTTTACTCTGTGGTATTGTACTGCTTTTTGATGTTGTTATGTGCCATTTTATCAACGACAATTCATAGCAACCCTATGAACAAAAGGTCTAAACTTGCCCTACTTTGTGCCATCCTCACCATCTCTGATCTACTCTAGCCCTTTGTTGCAATCACTATGTCAATCCATCTCGTTGAAGACCTTCCTCTCTTTCTCCGATCTTCCACAAGCCACAGCATGCTGTCCTTTGTCAAGGACTGGGCTCTCCTGACAACATGCTCAAAGTACGTGATGTAACCTTTCACCATCCTTATCTCTAAGGAGCATTCCGGTTGTTCTCCCTCCAAGACAGACTTTGTTTGTTCTTTTGGGAGTCCATGGGATGTTCAATATTGTTATCCAGCACCTCAACTCAGAGGTGTTCATTATTCTTTGGTCATCCTTATTCCTTGTCCAGCTTTCAGATGCATAGGAAGCAACTGAAAATACTATGGCTTAGACCAGGTGCATTTTAGTCTTTAAACTGTCGTCATTACTCTTTAACACTTTGGAGTGGTCCTTGATAGCAGATTTTCCCAATGCAACATGTCTTTTGATTTCTTTTAAAAAAATTTATACTGATTTATTTACAAAGTTTGAATACATTGTTTTTCACAAAAGATCCTTCCCATTTCCTTCACCGCACCAACCAATCAAATTGTGCAACCCTATGATTAACACCCTACCCCCTCATCTTTGGAATGTTTCCATATTCTTTTGATGGTGAATAATGCCACTATGAACACTTGTGTACAAGTTTCCGTTTGAGCCTCAGTTCTCATTTTCTTGGGGTATATTCCAAGTAGTGGTATAGCTGGGGCATATGGAAATTCTATGTTCAGCTTTTTGAGGAAGCACCAAACTGCCTTCCAGAATGGTTGTACCATTGTACAATCCCACCAACAATGTTAAAGAGTTCCTATATTGCCACATCCTCTCCAACATTTATTACTTGCTGTCTTGTTAAACTTTGCCACTGCTACTGGAGTGAAGTAGTATCTCATTGTGGTTTTGATTTGCATCTCTCTTATTGCCAGTGATTTGGAGCATTTCTTCAAGACGAGTTACATCTCAGCATCAAGAAAATAAAAATCCTCCCCAATGGACCAATAACATGATAGATAGAAAAAAGACTGAAATTATCAATAATTTAATTTTACGTGGTTCCACAAACAACATTCAAGGTAATAACAGTCAAGAAATCAAAAGATTTGGAACATTTCTTCATATATCTGTTGGCCATTTGAATATCTTCCTCTGTGAAAATTCTTTCCATGTGTTTTGCCTATTTTGTAATTGGGTTATCAGTCTTTTTCTTGTGGAGGCCCAGGAGTATTCTATAAACTTTCTTTATGAGACTCTTGTCTGAGATGATATTGCCAAATGTTTGTTCCCAGTCAGTAGGTATTCTTTTCATACTGTTGGAAAAAGTTTTTGATGCACACAGGGACCCATTCACCATTTTTATTCTGTTCAGACTGCATTTCTGGCTGTTTTTGGCAATTTCTTTATGCCATAGACTAGGGCTTCCAAGCTTCACCTCAGTTTGTCTCTTATGAACTTTGTGGTTTTGGGCTTTACTCCCAAGTCTCTGATCCACCTTGAGGTAATTTTTTGTGTATGAGGTGAGACATGAAAATGTCAGTCTTACCCAAAGCAATCAACATATTCAATGCAATCCCAACACAGGTACCAAATTCATTTTTTAAGGAGATCGAAGGAGAAATTGTCAAGTTTATTTGGAGAGGAAAGAGACATTGAATAAGCAAAACACTTTTGAGAAACAAAAATGAAGTGGGAGACATAGCACTCCCTGACCTCAAAGCCTACTACACAAACAACTATGAGATATCATTTCACCCCAATCAGAATAGCAAAATATAACAGAACAGCAAGTAACAAATGCTGGCAAGGTTGTGGAGAAAATAGAACCCTTTTTCACTGTTGGTAGGAGTGTAAAATAGTGCAACCACTGTGGAAGGTGGTATGGCGCTTTCTCAAAAAGATACACTATTTGATCCAGCAATTCCACTACTGGGAATACACCCCAAAGAGACCATAACTGACCCCCAAGCAGATATATGCACACCCATGTTTATTGCGGCTTTGTTCACAATAGCAAGGAGTTGGAAACAACCTAAGTGCCCATCAACAAACGAATGGCTAGAGAAGCTGTGGTATATTCGCACAATGGAATACTATGCTGCATTGAAAAAAAGAACTCATGCAATATTATTCAAAATGGGTGGCCCTGGAGGACATTAAGCTGAGTGAAGTATCTCAGTCACAAAAGGACAAATACTGCATGGTGTCACTGTTGTAAAACAGGACTGACCTTGGGGTTGGGGGGAAACTGAGAAAGATAGGTTAAATAATGTATACTGCATTGAAACAGATGAGGGAGAAAACTGTTTAAAAGGGATATGTGATTAGGTATTTTTGTCATGACAGGAGTCCAAAGTGAGGGCTGCATAGTGGAGTGGACCTGGGGGGAGGGTTTGTAAAACAAAGAAAGAATTTTTCTTTTACTTTTCCAAGAGGGTAGTATACTGGGGGGAGGTTTGGGAGGGGAGAAAAGTGCAATAATGAATGAATGGAAATCCAGTCTCTAAATTTTCATTGACAATAATAATAATAATAATACCCACAAAACCTACTACACAGCAGTAGTAACCAAAACAGCATGGTACTGGTACAACGGCAGGCATACAGACCAGTGGAACATAATTGAGAACCCAGAAATAGATCCAGCTATCTGTGGTCAACTGATATTCGACAAAGAAATAAAACCTATCAAAATGGGGAAATGACAAGCTCTTCAACAAATGGTGCTGGCAAAACTGGACTGCTACCTGCAGAAAACTGAAACAGGACCCACATTTCACACCATACATAAAAATACCTCGAGGAAGGCTTTAGTCCTTGATCTTCTGCATTAAATACTTCAAGTCTTCATGTTCAGCAAGCAAATTATGTCATCTCTGTAATTCAGGTTGTTGCGGAGTCGTCTTCTCATCCTAATGTCACA